TAAAAATCTTCATCTACTTGTATATTAAAGTTATACCAGCAAGAATTAGTCTATGTAGAAAACTAGGATTTACATCAAGCCTTACTGACTAGTGATTGAAATCAAATCCCCCCTGGTTACGGGAACTAATTCTCTAAAATCCAACAGTAAATGGATGATTGGGCGGCACAGTGGCTTAGTGGTTGGCACTTCTGCCTTGCAGTAATTGGGTCATGGGTTCAATTCCCAACCATGGCGCCTCCTGCATGGACTTTGCATGTTCTCCCTGTGTTCGTGTGGGTTTCCTCCAGGTACTCCGGTTTCCTCCCACGCTCCAAAGACATGCTGGTAGGTTAATTGGCTCCTGTCTAAACTGTCCTAGTTTCATCACTGGCCATGCGGGATCTCCTGCATGGTGGGGGTTGGGGAAAGACCTGGCAACCTACCCTGTAAAATAATTGCTAAGAGAATTCATGGAAAAAGTCGCTTACGAGTGACGGTCCATGCAATCGCCAAGGGTCGGATATGACTGAATGGATAGATAGAAATGGATGGTCTTTCTGCAAAGTAAATATTTTCCTCTCCTGCTGAAAACAGCACTCTAAGGCCTTGTTCAAACAGGGTGTACTAGAGCGTACAGGGCCGTGTTTACCTGCAAGGGGATAGGAATTAGGGTGCAACGGCTGTGTCTGTGCAGCTGCTGCATCCCAAATGGCATCAAATTTACACCTCTGCATTCTTGTGTGTGCAAACACGCCTTGTGCTTGTGTACGCTGTAGTATGCCCTGTATGAACGTGGCTTAAAAGCAGAGTTCCAATTGAATTAAGAAAAAAAAAAAAAAGATAAACTCAGCAGCTACAAAAACTGTAGCTGCCGACTTTTAACCACCTCCCGTCCGGGACCGGACGGTGGCACTGCAGGGTCGGGTAGCCGTTTATAAACAGCCTCTCCGCACCCTGTTTTTATGCGCGCTCCCTGGGAGGGCGCAGCACTGTGATCTGGTGCCTGCTGTGTCCTCCGGACACAGTGAAACACCGATCATCGGACAGGAGCTCTGTACGAGGTCCCGATCATGTGATCAGATTGGCCAATCAGTGATCACAAGAATAGAAGCAAGATGTCACTTCTGACATCATTGCTTACTACGTGTGAAATCTGTGAATGATCACAGAGGTCACATGGTACAGGGCTATTCACAACAGCCTTGTACCATGTGACAAGCTGTGACCAATCACAGCTCACTCAGTAGTTCTCAATGGCTGCAAGAATGCAGACAGAGAGAAAGAGAAATTATTGCTTATACATCCTATATGGGTGTAAAAGCAATCAGTGTAAGAAAAAAAAAATCTTCATCACCTCCCACAAGTAGTACAGTGTCACCATGGTGACACTGTATTGCTAGGGTGACAGTATGTATAAAAAAAAAAATAATATAAAAAAAGAAAGAAAATGTATAAAAAAAAATGTTTAAAAATTATTTTTTTGGTTATAAACTAATTTGGCTTATTTTGTTTTTTACTAAAAAGATGACGGAATAAATTTTGGCCAAGATTTATGATAAAATACTATTTATTTGCAAAATTTTATAAGAAAAACACTTTTTTTCAAAATTTTTGGACATTTTCATTTACATAGCAAAAAAAATTAAAATCCCAGCGGTGAATAAATACCACCAAAATAAAGCTTTATCTGTCTCAAAAAAATGGTAAAAAATTCATTTGGGTACAGTATTGCATGACCGCACAATTGTCATTCAAAGTGTGATAACGCTGAAAGCTGAAAAATGCCCTGGACAGGAAGGGGGTAAAAGTGACCGGACAGTTAAAATACAGCCACTTACCTGCCCCTCGATCCAGCAGTGTCCTCACTATGGCTGGTTTCACCGGCCGTCTTCTCTCCCTGGAGCTGGAATCTTCGGTATGGGCATCCGGCTGTGACAGCTTGCAGCTTCACATCCGTGTGCCTGCTGCACATGCTCCAGTAGTGCTGTACTTTGTGAATGGTCCCGTAGTCTTCTGTGACCTATCGTGTCCCAGAAGACTACAGGGAGGGAGGACAACTTCCACTTCCAATCGTCTTAGGCGATCACAGCAGAGGTGGGAGCGGGTACCTATCAAATTCAGGTACATGCTCCCCAAAGGTGCCAATCCTTAACGGGGGGCAGGGGACAAAGCCTTAAAGCGGAACTTCCCCTTTAGGGTGGAGCTCCGCTTTAATGAAGACAAAATGCAGCTGCCCACAGACACTTCCAGAAGTTTTTTCGGCTTCCCGTTCCACTCAATGGCTTCTCCTGACACTTACATCACTACTGTGACCTTTGGTGAAGTAGGGGGCCCAGCAGAAGGAACCAATGGGTGCATGCTGCAGGGGACCAAGAATCCGACTCTTGCAGAAGTGTCCTCATGTGGCAGATTCCTTCCCTCTCTCTGTCTTAGCCCTACTTCCTTCCAAATCCCACCTCAACACCCCCCCCCCCCCCCTTCTTCTGGTCCGGATTGCAGCTTGGTTGCGATGTCATCCATAGTACCACCCCCCTTCACTTGCCTCTGTGGACACAATTTTATTTCGGTCCACCTCTAAACCTTCAGCATTACACCGCCACCAAACCCCCCATCTGTTTATACTCCATCTCTTGGGTCCTCCCCTTTTGCAACTATAAAATGTGTTCTATATTAGTTGTATCACTATATACTCCTTTGTCACTTGGTGCCGGTGCACTACAACTCTTGCCTTGTTCAGAACCTCTGTTGTATTTTAATCGGTAACCTCTTCATGGCAAAGTAAACCCCCTTCGTATTTTATAGGTTATTCCCTCTCATTTGGTGGTAAATGGTAATGGATATCCATTTTATTTATTATTTCAGGTACTTATAAAGCTCCATCAATTTACGCAGCACTTTACATATATAGTACATTCACATCAGTCCCTAACCCTCAAGGGGTGTACAATCTAAGGTCCCTAACTCACATTCATACATACACATACTAGGGACAATTTAGACAGGAGCCAATTCACCTACCAGCATGTCTTTGGAGTGTGGGAGGAAACCAGAGTACCCAGAGGAAACCCACGCAGGCACAGGGAGAACATGCAAACTCCAGGCAGGTGGGGCCATTGTTGGGATTTGAACCAACGACCCTAGTACTGCCAGGAGGAAGTGCTAACTATTTAGCCACCGTGCTGCCCATTTTCTTTTTATTATCAAAGAAAACCTGGTACAAAATAGTAAAACATTTTTTTTTTAAATAACCATATATTTCTTTCCATTACCATAATGTACCACCAAAGAACAACCCAAAATAAAGTCTCCTGCTCCCGACAATCGCAGCATTACTACATACACGTATATTTGTGGTTTGTACCACAGTAGTAGGGCCCAGAAACAATATTGCACAATTTGCCTTTTTTATCCTGACGCGGACTCCAATTTAACCACTTCCAGTCTGGACACTTTCCCCCCCCCCTTCCAGTCCGGACACTTTTACCCCCTTCCTGTCCAGGGCAATTTTCAGCTTTCAGCGCTATCACACTTTGAATGACAATTGCGCAGTCATGCAACACTATACACATATGAATTTTTTAGCATTTTTTTGGAGACAGATAAAGCTTTATTTTGGTGGTATTTATTCACCGCTGGGATTTTTATTTTTTTTGCTATGTAAATGAAAGTCCATAAATTTTGAAAGTTTTTTTTTTTGTTTTTTTTTTATAAAATTTTGCAAATAACTAATATTTCATCATAAATCTTGGCCAAATTTATTCTGTTTATCTTTTTTGTAAAAAAAATTCCCACTGGGAATTTTTGCTATATAAATGAAAAAGTCCAAAAACTTTGAAAAAAAAAAAAGTGTTTTTCTTATAAAATTTTGCAAATAAATAAATTCTTAATAAATAATTCTTCATAAATCTTGGCCAAAATGTATTTAGCTATCTTTTTAGTAAAGAAAAAACAATAACCCAAATTCATTTAGAACCAAAAATTATAATTGTTTTTACATTTTTATTTTAGGTTTTGTTTTAACATACGGTCACCCTAGCAGTACAGTGTCACCATAGTGACACTGTACTACTTGTGGGGGGTGATGAAGATTTTATTTTCTTTTTTTACATCGATTGCTTTTACACCCATAAAGTCTGTAAAAGCAATCATTTCTATTTCCTTCACTGAGAAATACTATGCGAGCTGTGATTGGTTACCGCTTGTCACATGGTACAAGGCTGTTGTGAATAGCCCTGTACCATGTGACCTCTGTGATCATTCACAGATTTCACAAGTAGTAAGCAATGAAGTCAGAAAGTGACATATTGTTTACTACTGCTCATGTGATCACTGATTGGCCAATCAGTGACCACATGAATCGGACCTCACACAGAGGTCCTGTACAGTGATCGGTGGACACAGCGGGCACCGGATCGCCGTACCACGTGCTCCCAGGGAGCGTGCACAGGCAGTGAATGCGGGTGATGGTTAGAAACGTCCAGTGCTGCCGCCCAGCCGTTTATAGACATGGGCCAGACAGGAAGAGTAAAAAAAAAAAAAAAAAAAAAGTATTTTTTTTTCTTTAATCCTACGTAAAGTACACTGACCCTCTACCTATTTTGTCTTATTTACACATACTTGTTTTTGAATACATTGTTCTCCCATACCAGGGATAAATACATACAGAGGAGAAAAAACAAAACACAGGGGTGGGCTACACAGTGACTGACCAATCAGAGGCTGTCACAGTGATCGGTAACCTAGCTTCCCTGTTCCGACTTGTTAGTACACAACCTGGGGATCCCGTGCTGGGAGAATTCTGTGACTCATGCTCCCAGCACACACATGTACACGGCCTCACGGAAGAAGACCCACTTCTGTGACTCCGCATACATATGTATATTTGGCAGGAAGGGGTTAATAACTGCATGTAAGACATATTCTTGAACATTTGTAACTCAGATTTTGATATAAAACATCATTTAAAAATAATGAACCAATAACCATCCAGTTTGAGTAGTCTGGGTACAACAACTTACCTCTGAGAAAGGGTAGTACTCCTCAGCAAAATGCTGGAAAGCCAAGTAATGATTCAACACCACCAGCACTGTAAAAACATTAAGAGGTTTAATGGAGGGAAAGGTCTAAACTGACCACCTACACAGCACCTGAGGATGTCACAACATCACTAGCATGGTTTGTGTCTGCTGGATGTACAGGAGACACCATACATATCACCCAAATGTATAAAAGGCAATCATGTGACTAGATCTGTACATTTTACTCTTAGCGCTCCATGCCTGTCAGTGGCCTTACTTAGCTTTGTTTTCCTAAAGGCAATGATATGGTGTAAATGGTGGAGAAATCCGAAGACAGCGTAGAAAAATAAGTGACAAGGAGGCGCAATAGCCTGAAGAGGAGGGGAAGGCTCTACTCTCAGTATACAAGCTCCATGTTCATTCTGTGTTCCTTAACCTCCCTGGCGGTCTGATTATTTCAGATTTTTTGGTGCTGAAAGCGGTACCATTATTTTGCATGAAAAATATGTAGTTTTTTTTTATTGTAGGATGTACTTTTTAGGAATAACTCACTGATATCTGTCCGAACAAGAGTCTAGTAAACATCCCAGATATGATAAAATTTGAAACACAAAATCATACATTGTAATTTAATAAATAATCATAAAAAATAATATAATACATTTAATTCAATAATATAATCAAACCAAAAACACTGAAATATGAAATATAGCGCCAAGTTCGCACATCGCTGAGCAAAGTTGCAGAATCGTTTTCAGTGTCTGATGAGGAATTTCCCCCACGAATCATTATCACTCAATTCTGCAAGTGGTTCTGATTTACTATCGCTGTTCTCTAGCCGGTCTGAAACCGCTTTTGACCTAAAGGGACGCTTTTTGGACGCCATGGACGTTTCTCAGTTTCCAGGCAGAAAGAACAGTCAAAATGCAGGCAGGGCGCCGGACAAAGCACTCGGGACAAAATGTATGTGAAATGGGTTGATACAGGAATGTTTTGCTATGAAATAATAGTTTTTAAAAAAAATGTCTTTTTTTACAATTTTCAAACTTGCCGCCGTTCCGGCCCCCGTACGTCCCGACGTCACAGGGACCGGAACACAGAAGCTGGATGCCGGCATCGGCCGGAGGAGATGGCCGGGGACACTGCAGGGGACACATCGCGGGAGCGCAGGACAAGGTAAGTGCTGCAGGGACCCCCTGAGCAGCGCCACATGGTAAGCCCGAGTGTAGCTCAGGGTTACCGCTTTTGGTACTGACATTTTACCCCGAGCTACACTCGGGAATACCGCCAGGGAGGTCAAAGAGGTTGTAGAGATTGAAGATTGCATGAAAGTAAAAAAACTTCAGTGTGCAGCCCCCCCCCCACCCAAAAACTTGAGCCCAATTGCAATCCAAATGCTGTGCATGAGAGCCTTGGCTCTCCTGGGTCTCTCTCTCTACTCATTGGCTTAGACAGCAGTGGGGCCTATCAGGTCCCACTACTGGCAATCACAGCAGGGGAACAGGGGGCGGGCTGAGTCTATGTCTGATGGACACATGGGGCTGGCTCGGGAGCAAACACACACGGATGCCCCCTGAGCAAGCAGCTTGCTCTGGGGGCACTCAGCGGGGGGGGAGGGGCTAGAAGAACCAAGCAGGGGACCCAAGAAGAGGAGGATTGGGGCTGCTCTGTGCAAAACCACTGCACAGAGCAGGCAAGTATGACATGTTTATTTTAATTTAGAAAAAAAAAAAAGCTTTAAAACCACTTTAATTTATACATAAAAGACAGCAACTGTAATTTTATATCTCCATTCGCTCCTCTACACATTTCATTTATTTAGGGAATAATAGCCACCTTTTCCAGGTAATTTTACCTTTGAGGGTCAGATCACCAGACAGTGATGATCCCCGCTACAACCAGAGTCTTATTAACAGAGCCGTCTGCTGTTTTCTCATATTTCTTTAGGGGTTCAGCAGTGAAATTTCCCTGCGACGGTCTCTGGATCTTCTCCCACCCATCTTGGACTTCTGGCCGTGCTTGCCCATTATAGGGGAGTTTCCACTCCTCCAACTGCACAATACAAAAACTAAAATTCCAGCAGAGAGAATCTAAAAGCTGTGTAATAGCCACAGCAGCACTGCATTGACCTAAGAACTCTACAGCAGAGACGTGTCCTCAAACAATACAGGAAAAACATCAGGGGATCAGCTTTCTAGGATCTTCCAAAAACTGAAATATCACTTTCGGGAAGACTGATCCCTAAGACTGAAATTTCCTAAAATGATTCATTGAAGGAAAAAAAAAAAAAATATCATCCTAAAGTGTCAAAACTCCACTCTTCCAGCCACGCTGATCTCCTGGCCTCCACTTGCACTGAGTGCTTCCTCCTACCAGCCCTAAAGTCACTACAGAGCACAGTATTGATGTAGGTGGTTGGTGGGAGGGGTACCTGGAGACTTGCAAGCAGGATCACCAGGTGAAAAAGAAGAAAGCCATAAAAACAAAAACTAATGCAGCCACCATATCTAGGAATTGTTAAGCTGCAATATATTATATTTTTCTTTTTGGGTTTAATATTGCTTTAACCTTCCTAGCGGTCTGATTATGTCCAGATTTCTGTGCTCAAAGCGGTACATTTTTTTGCACGGATATCTGTATTTTTTTTTATTGTAGGCCTGTAATTTTTAGGAGTAACTCACTGAAATCTGTCTGAACAAGAGTCTAGTAAACATCCCGGGTATGTTAGAATTTGAAACATGAAATCAAATTATAATTTAATAAATAATCATAAAAAATAATAATATAATAATAATAAATTTAATTCAATAATATAATCAAACCAAAAACACTGAAATTTGAAATATAGCACCAAGTTCGCACATCACTGAGCAAAGTCGCAAAATAGTTTTCAGTGTCTGATGATGAATTTCCCCCACAAATCATTATCACTCAATTCTGCAAGTGGTTCTGATTTACTATCGCTGTTCTCTAGCCGGTCTAAAACCACTTTTGACCTAAAGGGACGCTTTTTGGACGCCATGGACGTTTCTCAGTTTCCAGGCAGAAAGAACAGTAAAAATGCAGGCAGGGCGCCGGACAAAGCACTCGGGACAAAATGTATGTGAAATAGTTTGATACAGGAATGTTATACTATGTGATTTTAGTGAATGTCACTTTTTGCCATTTTCAAATTTCCCACCAGTTCCGTCCCGACGCTCGCAGGGGATGGAACCCGGATGACAGATGCCGGCATCGGCCGGAGGACATTACAGGGGACACTGCAGGAGGGACATTGCGGGAGCGCAGGACAAGTTAATGATCGAGGGATCCCGGAGCAACGCCGCATGGTATTTCCGAGTGTAGCTCGGGGTTACCGCTTTTGGTACTGAAACTTTACCGCGAGCTACACTCGGGAATACCACCAGGGAGGTTAAGGAATAATTTCTCCTCAATGCAGCGGCCTGTGCAGTGAAAAGTAAGCATCAACTATGTTCTTTATAGGGATAGTTTTTTTTTTTTTTTTATTTTCCAAGACTCACTTTAAAACTAAAGTCATCTTTACTGGGTTTTTTTTTTTTTGGATAGATTGGAGGAGAATTAGAACTCCTGTCAGGTTTAACTGATGTTGGCGGTTCATTTGAAGATATTCCTTTACTTCCTGTTTGACAAAAAGGTGGTCTCTGCAGGACATGATGCAAGGGGAACATCTCTAACACACACAGAAGTAAATTGCTTTAAGAAAAGTAATGTAGCAGGATGTAAAAAAATAAAGTAGCAGGATGTACGCATAATATGCACAGCGATGGGCTTTAACACCAAGCTGTTTACATACATGTGTACAGTTGGCACTTGTTTTGTTCTGTGACTGCGCTCCCCTGCATTGTTACCACACTGTCACCAACAGCTCTCAGGTCACAGTGATAGTTAATCACAGTGATCACATGATAAAGAAGCCCAGGTAACAACTCAGGCGAACTTTTAAAGGCCCGGATCCTACCAGCTGGAAAGGGTTGTGGGGGTGGAATGCTAGAAAATCTGTCATTTATTTTGATCAATGTTGATCGTTTTTTGATGTTGCAGATTTTCCCTTACTTCTTGTATGGGAAAACGAGGTCCTGAAAAACAGGAAGTGAGGGGAAATCTATCTCATGGAGCACCAGATAACAGATAAAACCTGACAGAGGTTCTAACTTTCCCGATCCTATCCAAAACTTTAGTTTTGGGTATAAACACTTCTAAAAGATTCTAGGTCTTCTGGGATGACAGACAAGATGACGACATAAGAAAACACACCTTCCAATCCCAATGAACTCCAAGTTAGGACCCATTTCTGTAAAAGAAAACACACTTACCGCATGACAGTATGAAGTTGGGAGATGTCAGCAGGATAAAAGGGAACGTCTGCAATAACCCGAAATAGACTACATTGGTGAACAGTCCCACACCGATCATAATCCCAGGGAACTTCTCAAAGAAATACAGACCGATCAATGTACCTGTAGAAAACTGACACAAACCAGCCATGGTCAAGGATGATCTCACATCAAACAAGAGGAAATCATAAAGCCCCCATGGCCATGGATGTAAAAAAATCAAGCCCCTAGGCATGCAGACTGCTTCTACAAACATTGGTGAAAGAATGGGTCGCTCTCAGGAGCTCAGTGACTCCAAGCGTGGTCTCGTGATAGGTGGTCACCTGTGCAATAACTCCATCCGTGACATTTCCTGGCTACTAAATATTCCACGGTCAACTGTTAGTGGGATTATAACAAAGTGGAAGCAACTGGGAACAACAGCAACTCAGCCACCAAGTGGTAGGCCACATAAAATGACAGAGCGGGGTCAGCGCATGCTGAAGCGCACAGTGCGCAGAAGTCACCAACTGTTTGCAGAGTCAATAGCTAAAGACCTCCAAGCTTCATGTGGCCTTCAGATTAGCACAACAACAGTGTGTAGAGAGCTTCATGGAATGGGTTTCCATGGTGGAGCAGCTGCATCCAAGCCTTACATCACCAAGTGCATTGCAAAGCGTCGGATGCCGTGGTGTAAAGCACGCCGCCACTGGACTCTAGAGCAGTGGAGAAGTGTTCTCTGGAGTGACCAATCAAGCTTCTCTGTCTTCCAATCTGATGGATGTTTCTGGGTTTGGCTGTTGGCAGGAGAACGGTACTTGCCTGACTGCATTGTGCCAAGTGTAAAGTTTGGTGGAGGGGGGGGGATTATGGTGTGGGGTTGTTTTCCAGGGGTTGGACTTGGCCCCTTAGTTCCAGTGAAGGGAACTCCTAAGGCGTCAGCATACCAAGACATTTTGGACAATTTCATGCTCCCAACTTTGTGGGAAGAGTTTGGGGATGGCCCCTTCCTGTTCCAACATGACTGCGCACCAGTGCACAAAGCAAGGTCCATAAAGACATGGAGAAGCGAGGTTGAGGTAGAAGAACTTGACTGGCCTCCACAGAGTCCTGACCTCAATCCGACAGACCTTTGGGATGAATTAGAGAGGAGACTGTGAGCCAGGCCTCCTCCCCCAACATCAGTGGCTGACCTCACAAATGCATTTCTGGAAGAATGGTCCAACCTTCCCATAGACACCCTCCTAAACCTTGTGGACGGCCTTCCCAGAAGAATTGAAGCTGTTATAGCTGCAAAGGGCGGGGCCAACTCAATATTGAACCCTACGGACTAAGACTGGGATGCCATTAAAGTCCATGTGTGTGTAAAGGCCGGCCGACCAATACCTTTGGCAATATAGTGTATATAGATATAATAACTGCACATCTTTTTCTAGGGAAGAAAATGTGCATTCATTTTATTTTATTTTTTTTCACTGAAGCCTGTACAGCGTTGCACCTGCGATCAAAAGACCGTGGGTACAAGATCAGGATCCTGCAAACACTCAGACAGCTGTCTGCCTGTGGCAGACAGTTGCTGAACTGCAGGAAGAATCAATGAACTTCAAGAGCGCTCACCTGAACCCTCGCAGTTCATTAACCACTTCCCGACCGGCCGTTGTATTGTATATAAACGGCCGGACAGTGGCAGTGCAGGGTCGGGTGGCCGTTTAGCTGCGATCCGTTCCCCGCTGTGTCCTCCGAACACAGTGAAACACCGATCGTCGGATGGGACCTCTGTACGAGGTCCCGATCATGTGATCACCGATTGGCCAATCAGTGATCACATGCAAAGTAGTAAGCAAGATGTCACTTGTGACATCATTGCTTACTACGTGTGAAATCTGTGAATGATCACAGAGGTCACATGGTACAAGGCTATTCGCAACAGCCTTGTACCATGTGACAAGCTGTGACCAATCACAGCTCACTCAGTACTTCTCAATGAATGCAAGAATGCAGACAGAGAAAGAGAAATGATTGCTTTCACATCCTATATGGGTGTAAAAGCAATCAGTGTAAAAAAAAAACAAAAACAAAAAATCACCACCCCCAAGTAGTACAGTGTCACCATGGTGACACTGTACTGCTAGGGTGACAGTATGTAAAAAAAATAAAGATTAATAATATTAAAAAATAAAAAAAATGTTAAAAAAAATGTTTAAAAATGATAAATTTTTGGTTATAAACTAATTTGGATTTTTTTTTTTACAAAAAAGATAAACGGAATAAATTTTGGCCAAGATTTATGATGAAATATTATTTATTTGCAAAATTTTATTTAAAAAAAAAAAACTTTCAAAATTTTTGGACTTTTTCATTTATATAGCAAAAAAAATAAAAATCCCAGCGGTGAATAAATACCACCAAAAATAAAGCTTTATCTGTCTCAAAAAAAATGGTAAAAAATGTATTTGGGTACAGTGTTGCATGACCTCGCAATTGTCATTCAAAGTGTGATAGCACTGAAAGCTGAAAATTGCCCTGGACAGGCAGGGGGTAAAAAGTGTCCGGACTGGAAGTGGTTAAGAACTACACGCGGTCTGTCGCAGTGGCAGATGGTACCTGTAGTTCAATCATTCACAGAAAACTGATTAATGACATGGCTGTATGGGCGAAGCCCCGCATTAATTGCGACAGCGGCTGCGAGGAGAAGGTCCCCCGCCCGCTGTCATGGGTTATGGGGGGGGGGGTGTAAATGAGGGAAACGAAAGCAGGTGTTGTACTGTAAGATGTTAGGTGAATGCTTTGTCCTGACAGGATTATCAATGTTTTGTATTAAATGACCGCAGTGCACTAGGGGCTAATAATACTTCTAATCACTTGAAGCTCTGAACACTCACCCAGATCATGTACTTTATAATCCTGCTGGTGGCAACAGTATATTCCTCTATTAACTCCGCTAGATAGTACAGGCCGGCAGCTGCAATGACAAGAGAAGACGTTAAACAACATCCTAGAGTAGATCTTAATTCAGTCACAAACATTTCATTAAAAAAAGTGTAATATTTTGAAACTTGCAGCTTTAACGCCTGCGTGTTACCGCGACACATACTATAGGTGTGCTTAGCCTAGACGTAGCTGTGCCAACACACACACCGAGCACGGTCCATCGTTTTCAGAAAGCCGGTCCAGTGCAATAAATGTACAGTTGACACTGGAGCAAATGCATATCGATAGGAATAATAATAATAAAAATAATAAATAACATATAAAGCCATTTATAACTCTGCCCCAAATGACATCACCGATCTTGTTTAAATATCACCCAAACCGTACTCTCCGCTCCTCGCATGACCTCCTGCTCTCTAGCTCCCTTGTCTCCTCCTCCCATGCTCGTCTCCAGGACTTCTCCAGAGCCTCCTCCATCCTCTGGAACTATCTACCCTAATTTATCAGACTATCAGGAAGCTCTGGTGAACTCCATGCAGTGCTGGAAAATAATGGTAGCCACACAAAATATTGACAATTTGGACCTTGTCACTTAGGGGTGAACTCACTTTTTGTTGCCAGCGGTTTAGACATTAATGGCTGTGTGTTGAGTTATTTTTGAGGGACAGCAAATTTACATGTTATACAAGCTGTACACTGACTACGTCACATTGTAGCAAAGTGTCATTTCTTCAGTGTTGTCATATGAAAAGATATAATAAAATATTGACAAAAATGTGAGGGGTGGACTCACTTCTGTGAGATACTGTATCTCAAATCAATTGGTACGGTGCTAGGCCTGGGCCATCCAGCCAAGGCTGATATAAAGAATAACATTTCCGTTTCCCGCATACCATTTACTTGTTTCACCCACTGTTTTTTAGCTGGTATTTGCGGAGACAAGTACCAAGCTATCACCTTTTGAGCAATATACACTGCTCAAAAAAATGAAAGGAAAACTTTGAAAACACATCAGATCTCAATGGGGAAAAAATTTCCTGTTGTATCTCTATACTGGTATGGACTGTGTAATGTGTTAGGAACGTAAGGATGCCCCATCATTTGATGGAAATGATTGACCTACAGAGGACTGAATTCAAAGACACCCCGAAAATCAAAGTGAAAAAATGATGCAGCAGGCGAGTCCATTTTGCTGAAATGTCATTGCAACTCAAAGTTGTCCTCAGTAGTTTGTATGGCCCCCACGTGCTTGTATGCATGCCTGACAACGTCGGGGGAGGCTCTTAATGAGACCACGGATGGTGTCCTGGGGGATTTCCTCCCAGATCTGGACCAGGGCATCACTGAGGTCCTGGACAGTCTGAGGTGCAACCTGGTGGTGTCGGATGGACCGAAACATGACATCCCAGAGGTGTTCTATTGGATTTAGGTCAGGCGAGCATGGGGGCCATTCAATGGTATCAATTCCTCCATCCTCCAGGAACTGCCTGCATACTCTCACCATATGAGGCCAGCATTGTCTGCACCAGGAGGAGCCCAGGACCCACTGCACCAGCGTAGGGTCTGACAATGGGTCCAAGGATTTCATCCCCATACCTAATAGCAGTCAGGGTGCCATTGTCTAGCCTGTAGAGGTCTGTGCGTCCCTCCATGGATATTCCTCCCCAGACCATCACTGACCCCCCACCAAAAACAGTCATGCTGAATGATGTTACAGGCAGCAGAATGTTCTCCACGGCTTCTCCAGACCCTTTCACGTCTGTCACATGTGCTCAGGGGGAACCTGTTCTCATCTGTGAAAAGCACAGGGTGCCAGTGGTGGACCTGCCAATTCTGGTGTTCAATGGCAAATGCCAATCAAGCTCTATGGTGCACAGGGCCCACTAGAGGACGTTGGGCCCTCAGGCCACCCTCATGAAGTCTGTTTCTGATTGGTCAGAGACATTCACACCAGTGGCCTGCTAGAGGTCATTTTTAAGGACTCTGTACAAGGAGAAACAGGATGAGCACTGCCAAAGGAGCAGATACCAGTCCCGCTGATGGGTTAAGGACCTTCTACGGCCCTGTCCTGCTCTCCTAGAGTAACTGCCTGTCTCCTGGAATCTCCTCCATGCTCTTGAGACTGTGCTGGGAGACAGAGCAAACCTTCTGGCAATGGCACGTATTGATGTGCCATCCTGGAGGAGTTGGACTGCCTGTGCAACTTCTGTAGGGTCCAGGTATGGCCTCATGCTACCAGTAGTGACACTGACCCTAGCCAAATGCAAAACTAATGAAAAACAGTCAGAAAAAGAGGAGTAGGGAAAAAAATGTCAGTGGCCTCCACCTGTAAAACCATTCCTGTTTTGGGGGGCGTCAAATTGTTGCCCATCTAGTTTAGTTTGCCTGCCTCTCCTCTTCCTTTGCTCATTAACCGTGAATAGAAGTACAAGGCTTTTTGTGAATGGATGAGGACAGAAGAAAGGGATTGATGGGTGCTTTACTGTCACAGATGGAGCTCTTCACTCCCACAGTTGCGGAAATATAGCACGGTGTGTCAGAGCAGCTCGGATTTTTGCAGTAGCCATTCAGACCTAGGATAATTCTGATTAGAGCTCATTCCCACTAGTAGTTGAAGGGCAGTAAAACCCTGCAGTTGAGCCATGGGCAGGCTGGTTGTACTGAAGTCAAATGATCGATTTAAATATAACCAGCCTGTCCTTTTTTTGTTCTTTCGTATGATCACTGCTGGCAACTATAGCCATGCTATGGCTGCACAGAAAACTCAACATTAGCCATTAAAACACACACAGAAACCCCCCACAACCCGGGGCTGAAACTTTTTTTTTCCTTCGAGTACAAATTTGTTAGTGGCGTCTAGAAAAACGTAAAATCTAAAAATATTTTACAGAGATTACGCTGTATATTGTCTGACCAGACAGCAACAAATTGAAGCCACTGTTCTGTATACAGCGTATTGTTTATGTAATTAGTTCTGGAAACATTTATGGTGTCAGTTTATCAAAAGGCAACAAGGCCTTACAAGGTGTAATTGCACTTTGCAAGTGCAATTGCTCCAGAGCTTTGTAAATGAGATAACTAAATATTTACTTAAATTAAAAAAAATTAGGAAAAAGAAAAAAAGCACTTGCACGTGATTGGATGATGGAAGTCAGCAGAGCTTCTGCTCATTTATTAAGCGCTGGAGCTACTGCTCTTGCAAAGTGCACAGTCTGTTTGCCTTTAGTAAATCACCCCCTATGAGTTTACCCAGCTAACAGATATAAAAAGCTATTATACAGAAGGAACTTCTGCTACGCATACACCAGCCCATACTGAAAAAAAGACTGAAGCAATCTTATCAAAAAAGAGCAAAGTTTGCTGGATGGAGACACGTTGGGTTCACACGTCACAAAACTCACCTATCGCCAGCGTGACAAAGGCCACCTGAATGAACAGGGACAGCCAACTGAGGACATAGATAAACCACATCTTGCTGGATTTCTGCCGCCCAAATAAACCTTGGCGGTCGTCCTCTCCACCCCTGGGTGCTTCTTTCTCCGGAGGTCCCCTTTACACGTTCCCCTCAATTCTATATTCTTCCTGGAATTAACCCAGACAGACTACTTCCTGTCAATCTCTCTGCAAGTCTTACAATATCTGCTGCTGAGCACCTCACTGTAAATCTCCGCTCCTCACTTGCTGAAAATCTCACTTTGATCAAAGTCAGGGGAAATGTCCCAATTTCCCAGGTTTGATAGAAGTCTCCCCACCCACTGCAAGGCCTCTGGCCACCAGCAATTTCCTTCTTTCTGATGCAGATTTGCTTCTAACAAAGTTGCAGTTCAGTATAACGTTCCCCCTGGTCCCAGCAAGTCACCAGCAGTCCAGTACAAATTTCCTCCTGGTCCCAGCAAGTCACCAGCAGTCCAGTACAAATTTCCTCCTGGTTTCACCAAGTCACCAGCAGTCCAGTGCAAATTTCCTCCTGGTTTCACCAAGTCACCAGCAGTCCAGTGCAAATTTCCTCCTGGTTTCACCAAGTCACCAGCAGTCCAGTGCAAATTTCCTCCTGGTTTCACCAAGTCACCGGCAGTCCAGTACAAAGTTCTTCCTGGTCCCAGCAAGTCACCAACAGTCCAGTAGAAAGTTCCTCTTGGTCCCAGCAAGTCACCAGCAATCCAGTGCAAAGTTCTTCCTGGTTTCAGCAAGTCACCAGCAGTCCAATACAGTTCTTCCTGGTTCCAGCAAGTCAGCAGCAATCCAGTGCAAAGTTCTTCCTGGTTTCAGCAAGTCACCAGCAGTCCAATACAGTTCTTCCTGGTTTCAACAAGTCAGCCCGATATCTCAATGCAAGTCCTCCTCCTGCTACAATTCCTCCTCAAGGGTCAGCGAACCTTCCAAGAGCGTTCTTTAATGCAATCGTCCAATTCTCCCGCAGCAGTTCCTGCAAATCACCGCAATATCAGAATGTGAGCCCCCTGAACTATAACAAGATGTTTAGCTGTCCTATTAGAAGTCCCCTCCTTTCCCTCTTGGTCCCTTCTTTGCTAGAGTTCTTCACTACTGTCAGAAAATCTTCCAGCTAGTGCAAGTCTTATATAAAGCTGGCCTGAAATTGTCCTGCACACCCCCCGATATCTGAATGCAAGCTCCCCAGTGATGTCCTAATGCAAGTCAGTCTTAATGGAAGTCCCCAGTCCCTGTAGGCCCCGTCCGCTAAAACGCAAGCAAATCTTCCAGCTAGTTTAAATGCAAATCCTATGCAAAGAAAGCCTGAATTGTCCTGGAAGTTTCCCAGATATCTGAAGCAAGCTCCCAGAAAATCAAGCTCCCCCCAATCTCCCAGCTAGTTTAGTATAAAGCTCGCCTCTGGCAAGTCCCCCGGGTATCTGAAGCAAGCTCCCAGTGATGTCCTAATGGAAGTCCCCGGTCCCTGCCAGGTCCCGTCTCCTAGAACGCAAGCAAATCTTCCAGCTAGTTTAAATGCAAATCCTAGGCAAAGAACACCTGAATTGTCCAGGAAGTTCCCAGATATTTGAAGCAAGCTCCCAGAAAATCAAGCTCCCCCCGATCTCCCAGCTAATTTAGTATAAAGCTCGCCTCTGGCAAGTCCCCCGGGTACCTGAAGCAAGCTCCCAGTGATGTCCTAATGGAAGTCCCCGGTCCCTCCCAGGTCCCGTCTCCTAGAACGCAAGCAAATCTTCCAGATAGTTTAATGCAAATCCTATATAAAGTCGGCCTGAAGTTCTTGGAAGTCTCCTAGCTATTTAAAGCAAGCTCCCAGTGATGACCTAATGCACAATCTCAATGGAAGTCCCCCGTCCCTGTAGGTCTCATTTGCTACAATGCAAGAAAATCTTCCAGCCAGTTTAATGCAAATCTTATATAAAGCTCGGCTGCAGAAAGTCCCCCTGATATTTGCAGCAAGCTCCCAGTGATGTCCTAATGCAAGAAAATCTTACTGGAAGTCCCCCGTCCCTGCAGATCCCGTCTGCTGCAATGTGAGTAAATCTTCCAGCTAGATTAATGCAAATCTTATGTAAAGCAAGGCTGACGTTCCCTGGAAGTCCCCCAGATATCTGAAGCTCCCAGGAATTCAGGTCTTCCAGCTAGTTTAATGCAAGTCTTATATAATGCTGGTCCCCGGATAATTGCAGCAAGCTCCCAGTGATGTCCTAATGCCAGTCAATTTTAATGGAAGCCCCCTGTCCGCTAGAATGCAAGCGAATCTTCCAGCTAGTTTAATGCAAACCTGAAGTTCCTGGAAGTCTCCCAGATATCTGAAGCAAGCTCCCAGGAATACAGGTCACCCCGATTTCCTAACAGAAGTCACCTGCCGGTCAGAGAACCCCCCACATAGACAAATGTAAGCACCCCGCCTCAGTGATGGGCCCCCAATGGGCCCCTGCACGCCAGACAAGCCTCTTGCAAGTCTAATACAAGTCCCTCCTCCTCACTACTTCCTGTTGGGCCCCCAATGGTCTCACAATTGGCCCCTGTAGTGTGCAGATAGCCCCCAGGTGGTCCAATACAAGTCCCACCTCACTGCTGGGCCCGAGCTGTCCTTGCAGGGCAGACAACCCCCTACAAAGTCCAACACAAGCCCCCCTTCTCACTACTTCCTGCTGGGCCCCCAGTTACCTCACACTGGGCCCCTCTGCTGCAACCCAGCAAGCAGTATTCAGTTCCCCACTACTTCCTGCAATCCCCCCCAGCCCATACAAACGTACTGTCTCTTTTGTGCCACGTCCTGGGGCCCCAACCTCCCCCAGGGCCCCCTCTTTCACTTTCACCCAACCTCCCCCGTCCAGTCACACCACCATAGAGAGAGAACTCCTCCTGGAACCATAGACAGGCGCGGCTGGCGGTACTTCCGGCCTGCGCCCTCCTCTTCCAACCATAGAGAGAAGTTTGCTTTACTATAGAGACGTATTAGGAATGCGGGAGGCGCCATGTTGGATAAGGGAGATACGGGCGGAAAAGCTGGCTAGTGTGCCCTTAGCTGCGGGCGGGGGCTTGTCACGCGTGCGGCGATTGGCTGGCTCCGTTGCCATAGCAGCGTTTGTTTGCCAGCGAGGCATCCTTTCCCCTCAGTGCTAGAAGTGGCGCCAAATCACCTGACAGTGAATCAAAGTTCAGAGATTGTAGATTGAGATCAGAGCAATGGAGGCCAGAGGGGGAGAAACACAGAATAATCATGAAACAAGCCCAAATGTACTAATGTGTCATGGAAGATCATTATTAATATGAATTAATATTTTTTTTACTATAAAAAGCTGCTTAATTGACTACATAATGTTTATTATTAATAATAATGTATGCAAATATATTTTTTATGATAATCAGTACATTAAAATAAGAATTTATATATATACATTATACATTTTACAATTATATATTTTTTTAATCGCTATTTATGTATTACTATTTTAAACAAATATATATATATATATATATATATATATATATATATAAAATTTGTTTAAAATAGTAATACATAAATAGCGATTTAAAAAATATATAATTGTAAAATGTATAATGATTAATAATAGTAAGACATTACATTAACTAATGATTAATAAATGAATTAATAATAAATTAATAATAATAGGATTTTTTTTTTACAATGAATGATTGCCCAATACACAGTTCCATAGTTAGTCTGGCTGAAAAAAGACAAAAAAAAAAAAGACAAAAGTCCATCAAGTTCAACCATTAAAAAAAAAAAGTTATAATCCTATACCCAAACTTGATCCAGAGGAATGCAAAAAAAACAAGCAAAGCATGATCCAATTTGCTCCTGCAGGGGAAAAATTCCTTCCTGATCCCCCGAGAGGCAATCGGATATTCCCTGGATCAACTTTACCTATAAATGTTATATCCAGTTATATTCTGTGTATCCAAGAAAGAATCCAGGACTTTCCTACAGCAATCCACTGAGCTGGCCAGAACCAACTCTTGAGGGAGTCTATTCCACATTTTCACAGCTCTCACTGTGAAGAAACCTTTCTGTGTTTGGAGATTAAATCTCTTTTCCTCCAGATGTAAAGAGTGCCCCCTTGTCCTCTGTGATGACCTCAGGGGGAATAACTACACCGAGTTCACTATATGAACCACTGATGTATTTATACATGGAGATCATATCCCCCTTATGTATTATACATGGAGATCATATCCCCCCTTATGTATTATACATGGAGATCATATCCCCCCTTATGTATTATACATGGAGATCATATCCCCCCTTATGTATTATACATGGTGATCATATCCCCCCTTATGTATTATACATGGAGATCATATCCCCCCTTATGTATTATACATGGAGATCATATCCCCCCTTATGTATTATACATGGTGATCATATCCCCCCTTATGTATTATACATGGAGATCATATCCCCCCTTATGTATTATACATGGAGATCATATCCCCCCTTATGTATTATACATGGTGATCATATCCCCCCTTATGTATTATATATATGGTGATCATATCCCCCCTTATGTATTATACATGGTGATCATATCCCCCTTATGTATTATACATGGAGATCATATCCCCCCTTATGTATTATACATGGAGATCATATCCCCCTTATGTATTATACATGGAGATCATATCCCCCTTAATCTCCTCTTTTCAAGAGAGAATACATTCAGTTCCTCTAATCTTTCCTCATAGCTGATCTCTTCCATGCCTCTTATCAGTTTGGTTGCCCTTCTCTGTACTTTCTCCAGTTCCCCAATGTTCTTTTTGTGAATTGGTGCCCAAAACTGAACTGCATATTCCAGATGAGGTCTCACTAATGATTTGTACCGGGGGAAATGATATCACCCTCTCTGGAGTCTATACCTCTCCTAACACAAGAGAGGATTTTGCTCGCTTTAGAAACCGCAGCTTGGCATTGCATGCCATTATTAAGCTTGTGATCTACCAGAACTCCCAGATCCTTCTCCACCATTGATTCCCCCAGATCCTTCTCCACCATTGATTCCCCCAGATCCTTCTCCACCATTGACTCCCCCAGATCCTTCTCCACCATTGATTCCCCCAGATCCTTCTCCACCATTGACTCCCCCAGATCCTTCTCCAACATTGATTCCCCCAGGATCCTTCTCCACCATTGATACCCCCAGATCCTTCTCCATCATTGATTCCCTAGATCCTTCTCCACCATTGATTCCCCCAGATCCTTCTCCACCATTGGTGCTCCCAGTTGTACCCCCCTAGTATGTATGATGCATGCATATTCTTAGCCCCCAAGTGCAGAACCTTACATTTATCAACATTAAACCTCATTTGCCACATACAGACAGAGAAAGCCAAGTCCCTAGGTAGGCTTGGCCTAGGAAAGGGAAAGATTATTGTATCCACTGAGATCATCTCATTTAAGGGATATCGGCCGAGTGAGGTTGGCCACACATAATGTAATCTCTTTTACCAGCTTATATGATGAAACACAAGGAAGGAGTTTTTACTACCGTACTTTTTCGAGGGGCGGTGCCGCCTCCCCTCCTCCTCCAACGGA